GCATTTTGAATGAATGCTGGGAGACAAGTAGTGTTATAGCCAGAATATGGCCCAGGCTTAGGAAAGCATGAGTTGTTGGGAGACACATCCCAAAATTGGGACGCCTCAGGTTTCTGCTGCTTTCTTTCTAGTCTTACCAAAGTTGGCTGAAAGAGCCTTCAGGGTCATGTCCAGGTATTCAAGAAAGTTGGCTTCCAACTGCCAGTGTCTACTTCCTTTCCCAGGGGCCACTTAGCCATGTGCAGCCCTGAAAATAATCAAGTTCTCCCTTTAAGACCCATCTATACTGAACCAGAGACATTTTGCTAATTAACAGTGTAATGGCCCCACAATATTGGTCTTATGGGAGGGGAGGGGGCCAAGACAGCAGTGTCCCTCCATGGGCAAGCTGTGGTGAGCTTACTACAAGGTGCACATTGCATTGGTGATTGTTAATGCTGGCACAGGCTGCCCATTCTGGCCCATTGTTGGCGGCCTGCATTGCACCTCAATGACAAATTGGCAGGTTGCAGATGCACAAAAGACCACAACCTCAGCATGGGTGGCCTTTGTTTGTTAATTGTGTGTTGATTGGCATTATTATGATTGGGCATAGGATGTGACACACACAGGAAAGATGCCTAATGATTGTGAGGGCCCAGGTATTCCAAAGGAACTTGTACCATGATGCATAACCTGGAGCCATTTCAGGTCCTCAGCTGGTGATAGGTAGGGATGGTGACACTCCTATTGGAACCCTAACAGTTCCAGGGGGTCCTCAACCAGTGAGAGGTGGGGGATGGTGACAATCCATTGGAACCCTAGCAGTTCCAGGGGTCCTCAGCCAGTGATAGGTAGGGATGGTGACACTCCCATTGGAACCCCAACAGTTCCAGGGGTCCTCAGCCAGGAAGAGGTAGGGATGGTGACACTCCCATTAGAACCCCAACAGTTCCAGGGGTCCTCAACCAGTGAGAGGTAGGGATGGTGACAATCTCATTGGAACCCTAGCAGTTCCAGGGGTCCACAGCCAGTGATAGGTAGGGATGGTGACACTCCCATTGGAACCCCAACAGTTCCAGGGGTCCTCAGCCAGTAAGAGGTAGGGATGGTAACACTCCCATTGGAACCCCAACAGTTCCAGGGGTCCTCAGCCAGTGAGAGGTAGGAATGGTGACAATCTCATTGGAACCCTAACAGTTCCAGGGGTCCTCAGCCAGTGATAGGTAGGGATGGTGAGACTCCCATTGGAACCCCAACAGTTCCAGGGGTCCTCAGCCAGTAAGAGGTAGGGATGGTAGCACTCCCATTGGAACCCCAACAGTTCCAGGGGTCCTCAGCCAGTGAGAGGTAGGAATGGTGACAATCTCATTGGAACCCTAACAGTTCCAGGGGTCCTCAGCCAGTGATAGGTAGGGATGGTGAGACTCCCATTGGAACCCTTGCTGGTGTATGGGGCCCCAGTAGGCAGGAAGCCAATGACCATCCAGAGAGGCTCCTCACAGTCCTGATAAGATGGAGGATATCCCAACAGCCTTCACCTCTAATGGGGTCCTGTTAGCTGTTGGGTCCGTTAGTTATGCAGTGGTTGTCAATGGTCTCTGGACTTGTGGTCATGAGGGGGATATTTGCCAGTCATGCAGGGGTCCCAGCAGTCTGGAGCCATTTCACCAGATGCAGAAGCCCTGGTCATTTTCTGAGAGGCTGGCCATTTCAGGGCCTATATCTGCCTTAGCATTTCTGAGCATATCTGGGGATGGGTGATCGGCAGGCCTCTGATGCCCTCAGAGCTCCCAATCCCCTCAGGGTTCCTGAACTGCTCAGGGGCTCTGGCCAGCTCAGGCCCCTGAACCTCCCATGGGTCATAAACAATCCAGACCTGAAAACCACAGCATGTAGTGTTTGGTGTGGCCTGGCAGGCCCTCCCAAGATCTGATCAGGGAACCTTATCCTGGGTCCCTCTGAAGTCTCCAGGGGAGGTGATCACTCCCATCACCTCTGCTTCACTATGCCACTGAGCATGCAAATGCTGACAGCATGTGGCAGTATTTGGTTCAGTAATATTTTGTTTGTGCAATGATCTGCATTAGATGAGGCTACTTGTAGCTGTTACTACAAATCTCTTAAGCTCTAAGATATGCTTTGTTGTATTATAAGATTATTTATTACTCTTGCTACTGTTAATGCAAGCAGTACATTATATGTGACTGGCTCTGGACTTTTGGTCAGTATATCACATGATCAAAATGTAATTAGCCAGAAAGTGTAAACATTGAATGGCAAATAGCGACTAAAAGCCCATGTCTTGCAATAACAAACCATCTTGTGTCATCCGCACTCTGTGTTCCTGACAACCCAAGTCAATCCCCACACGCACCACTCCACCTTCCTGAGATGGCCGCCTCACCAGTGGCCGGTGCTGGCAGGCACAGGACGCCCGCTGACCGACCGGCCGGCCCCTGAGCGCCGTCGGCCGCCATGGACCCGCTGGCCGGCGGCGGCATGGAGCTGGCCGAGCCGCCGTCCGTGGTCGGCCTGCACGTGGACGCCGACGAGCTGACCATGGACGAGGAGCGCGGCGTTGAGTTGGTGGACGCCGGCCCCCAGCAGGACTGGTGCCACGTCTCGCAGGCGCCCATGCAGGTGCGGTCTGAGGACATGGCGCAGCAGACGTGGCTAGGGGGAGGGCGGTCTGTGAATCGGGGCAGCAGACGTGGCTAGTGGGGAGGGCGGTCTGTGAACCAGGCGCAGCAGACGTGGCCAGTGGGGAGGGCGGTCTGAGGACCGGGCGCAGCAGACGTGACTTCTGGGGAAGCACTGGGGACTGGCACAGCAGGCTTGGCTAGGGAGGAAGTGCTTGGGACTGGCGAAACAGGTGAAGCTAGTGAGGAAGTGTTGGGGACTGGCGCGACAGGCGGGATTACTGGGGAAGCATTGGGGACTGGCGCGACAGGTGGGACGACTGGGGAAGCATTGGGGACTGGCGCGACAGGCGTAGCTAGTGAGGAAGCATTGGGGATTAGCACGACAGGCGGGACTACTGGGGAAGCGTTGGGGACTGGCGCGACAGGCGGGACTACTGGGGAAGTGCTGGGGGCTGGCGCAGCAGGTGTGGCTAGGGGGGGAGGGTGAACTTCATTCAGGTGTGCAGTGTGTTGTGTGCTAGGATCAAATCAATGATTCGGTGAAATTATTCAAGTGCAATATAAATACAAATGTAAAATTTGTTTATCTTTAAGATGTGGAGATGTGTATGTGCTTTGTCTTATGGCAGCTTGGTTCGTAGTTCGCGGCGGAAATGTATCAGCCTGGCCTTATGTGACCGACCGACCTGACCTGACCCGATCTGGCCGGACCGGACGTGAAGTGACCTGACCTGACCTGACCTGACCTGCCGGCAGGTGGTGCGGATCCTGAGCGCGGACGGTGAGGAGCTGCAGATGCTCTCCACCGACTACCACAACATGGACGGTCACCCCGTCACCATCCTGCCGGACGACTCCGGTGCGTATCATGCCACCATCGGGGCTTCCACCCCAATACCCTGCGCACGGGACTCCGGTGCGTACCGTGCCGCCATCGGGGCTTCCACCCCAATACCCAGCGCCCGGACTCCGGGTGCGTACCATGCCACCATCGGGGCTTCCACCTCAGTACCCTGCGCCCGGGACTCCGGTGCGTACCACGCCGCCATCGGGGCTTCCATTTCAATACCCTGGGCACGGTGTGGTGCTATGTGACCCGCATTGGCAGATCATCCACATTTCCTGGGGACAGGG